CTCTAGAGGAGATCTGCATGGAGGAATGGGCCAAAATGTGTGAAAACCTTGTGAAGACTTACAGAAAACGTTTGACCTGTGTCATTGCCAACAAAGGGTATATAACAAAGTATTGAGAAACTTTTGTTATTGACCAAATACTTATTTTCCACCATCGTTTGCCAATAAATTCATTAAAAATCCTACAATGTGATTTTCTGGATTTTTTTTCTTCTCATTTTGTCTGTCATAGTTGACGTGTACCTATGATGAAAATTACAGGCCTCTCTCATCTTTTTAAGTGGGAGAACTTGCACAATTGGTGGCTGACTAAATACTTTTTTCCCCCACTGTATGTATATATATATATATACACATACATACACACACACACACACACACACACACACAGTACCAGTCAAAAGTGTGGACACACCTATTCATTCAAGGGTTATTCTTTATTTTTACTATTTTCTACATTGTAGAATAATAGTGAAGACATCAAAACTATGAAATAACATATGGAATCATGTAGTAACCAAAAAAGTGTTAAACAAATCAATATATAAGCTGTCATCAAGGCAAAGGGTGGCTACTTTGAAGAATCTCAAATATAAAATATATTTTAATTTGTTTAACACTTTTTTGGTTACTACATGATTCCATATGTGTTATTTCATAGTTGATGTCTTCACTATTATTGTACAATGTAGAAAATAGTAAAAATAAAGAAAAACCCTTGAATGAGTAGCTGTGTTCACACTTAACTGGTACTGTATATAGGCGCTCAACTTTCTTTTTAGAAGTGGGGGTGACATAACTATTTTTTGTTTTGTTTTTATCCAGTCGGTAAAACACTCCAAACAGCCTACCCGACCGCTCGGAGGCGTCCTCATGGTCTTAAAGCACACCGTTGCATGTTTTTTTTGGGGGGGAGCAGAAATGCAATTTCAGCAATCTACCCAAAAATCCTCAGCAATCTACAAACAATACCCCATAATGACAAAGCGAAAACAAGTTTTTTTGAGAAAAAAAATCTAATGTATTAAAAATAAAAATAACAGAAATACCTTATTTACATAAGTATTCAGACCCTTTGATATGAGACACGAAAATGAGGTCAGGTGCATCCTGTTTACATTTATCATCCTTGAGATGTTTCTACAACTTGATTTGAGTCCACCTGTGGTAAATTCAATTGATTGGACATGATTTGGAAAGGCACACACCCATCTATATAAGGTCCCACAGTTGACAGTGCATTTCAGAGCAAAAACCAAGCCATGAGGTCGAAGGAATTGTCTGTAGAGCTCCGAGACAGGATTGTGTTGAGGCAGAGATCTGGGGAAGGGTACCAAAACATTTATGCAGCATTGAAGGTCCCCAAGAACACAGTGGCCTCCATCATTCTTAAATGGAAGAAGTTTGGGACCACCAAGACTCTTCCTAGAGCTGGCTGCCCAGCCAAACTGAGCAATTTGGGGAGAAGGGCCTTGGTCAGGGAGGTGGCCAAGAACCTGAAGGTCACTCTGACAGAGTTCTAGAGTTCCTCTGTGGAGATGGGAGAACCTTCCAGAAGGACAACCATCTCTGCAGCACTCCACCAATCAGGCCTTTATGGTAGAGTGGCTAGACGGAAGCCACTCCTCAGTAAAAGGCACATGACAGTCCCCTTGGAGTTTGCCAAAAGGCACCTAAAGACTCTCAGACCATGAGAAACAAGATTCTCTGGTCTGATGAAACCAAGATTGAACTCTTTGGCCTGAATGCCAAGCATCACCTCTGGAGGAAACCTGGCACCATCCCTACGGTGAAGCATGGTGGTGGCAGCATCATGTTTTTCAGCGGCAGGGACTGGGAGACTAGTCAGGATCGAGGGAAAGATGAACGGAGCAAAGTACAGAGAGATCCTTGATGAAAACCTGCTCCAGACCACTCAGGACCTCAGACTGGGGCAAAGGTTCACCTTCCAACAGGACAATGACCCTAAGCACACAGCCAAGACAACGGATGAGTGGCTTCGGGACAAGTCTCTGAATGTCCTTGAGTGGCCCAGCCACAGCCCGGACTTGAACCCGATCTAACATCTCTGGAGAGATCTGAAAATAGCTGTGCAGCAACGCTCCCCATCCAACCTGACAGAGCTTGAGAGGATCTGTAGAGAAGAATGGAGAAATTCCCCAAATACAGGTGTGCCAAGCTTGTAGCGTCATACCAAAGAAGACTCAAGGCTGTAATCTCTGCCAAAGGGGCTTCAACAAAGTACTGAGTAAAGGGTCTGAATACTTATGTAAATGTAATATCTGTTTGTTTTTTAGTTATTAATTTGCTATCATTTCTAAAAACCTGTTTTTGATTTGTCGTTATGGGGTATTGTCTGTAGATTGATGAGGGGAAAAAAACAATTTAATCAATTTTAGAATAAGGCTGTAACCTAGCAAAATGTGGACAAGGTCAAGGGGTCTGAATACTTTCCGTATACACATATAAATAAATTAAATACTGCGTTTACAGCACCATGCAGGGCTACATCCACCAACTAATCTAGTAAACTTTTAATTATCTCCATGGATATGTCTGTCAATGGGTAATAGACAGAACCATCCAGTGGGCTATTCCAATGTGGGATTCAACATAATGTCGGCCCACAAAATTGCTGCAGAAACAATTCGGTCTTACAAAACATTTGGCGTTGAGCAATGTCCTTGTAGTTTTATATTCTTAATGTTGCGTAATGTTAGAGTAAAACAGCTCAAAGACATTGCACTTATTTCAACAAGACTTATGGGCATGCTATAATAGTTGAGCGAAAGGCATATTTTTCTCTCAATGCCTACTTTTAAAAGGTATGTGCTAGGGTTGTGTATTTAAGTTTCATTTCCTGACCTTAGTTCCTGCGGTGTCCCCACCCTTCCTCAGAAGGAATGCACAGCAGCCAGCTGGGTTTTAGAGGGGCTCAATGTGTCACCTTCTTTGGCATCTCACTTTCCATTGACGGAGAGAAATCCAGTAACAGATATTGAGTTGTACCGCCTCACTGTGGTGAGATAAAGAAATGGCATCTGCACACAAAAGCACTTGCACACAGTATATTGAATTGGAATTATATTAGGTGTTTCATTTCCCCATGCCCCTTCAAGAATGTGATATTTCTATAGTGGTTCAATTAATTTCAGATTGTGTCATTCATTCCCTCAAATGGTTGAGGGAATGAATGAGGTACAGATTTCCAATGTACTATTTTAATGGTGTATTACATCTGTCCTCTTGAATTTCATTCTGCTAAGCCTAAATGTTCTAATGATGACAGACATTTTACAACCCAGATTTATATTTGTTTTATATTGTACAGAAAATCTAAATGATTGGTTTTACCCCTCGCCTGTAAAGCTTTGAATAAATAAATGAAAATGCCTACTACTTACTAAAACTACATACTGTGTACTAATAGTATTACATACTATTTACAATGTACTGTTTAGTAAAAATGTATGCAGTAAGCAACAAATATCAACATACTACTCAGCCGTGCTCAAACGCGCTTGTTCCCTATTCTGATTATCAGCTGTTGTCAAACACACGTGAGTGTGAAAAGACGATTATCTTCCTCAATAGTGTGTAGCGAATTCATAGAGATAGTTAGAGGATGCAACATTCTATCTGTCCCATTATGGCGTCTGTGTGAGCATGGGCAGCGCCATTGAGGCCAACTCCATTTTGAAGTAGTACATTTTAGTACAGTTGGTAAACAAACTGAAAGGGTGCATACTGCCATCAGGAGTGTGTCATCTGAACAGGTATAAAGCCAAGGTTGGCAATTTACTGCCTCTACAGTTATGGAATATTTGCACACAAGTCTAATTCATTGGCTGATCCATCCTTGGACCTGGATGGAATTATGTGAGCCTTCCTTAACCCATAGGAAGTACCACCCAGTTGACTACTTCAAAATGGTGAAAGTCCTCAAGTGCCCATGCTAAAACAGGCTTTTGGCCACTGGAGTCCTCTGTCATTCTCTGTGCACAAATTCTACTTGATGAAAAGCCAAAATTAGAATGACATCCTGGCACTTAAAGCATACAAAATGTTCTAAACGTCATATACTATAAAACATTTTTCATACCCAAAAAGCCTTCTATTTATAACGCAAGTATGGGTATTCAGACACACCCATAATGTTGTCAATTTAATTTGTTGATATACATAAATTATTTATTAAGAATGCAACACTATTGTCATTAAAGTATAATGTTTGTAATTCTAGAGAGGGAGAGAGTCTTAAGTGGACCAAATTGAATGAATCTCAAAGAAACCAGTAACTCATAGATTTATTACTGTGTAATTGCCACTTCACCCTGTAATGTATTAGTACATACAAACATAAAGCCTACTCTGGAACATGTTAGGGGACCCAGTTCTACTCTGGGCCTAAGGTCCTCCCTTATGGAATGTGTAGCATAGCATTGTGTTGTACGGAGTTTAATGCAAAGCTAATAAAAGGACTGGAAATAGTGTATAAGAAGGATAGTGAGATATAAAGTGTTACTTTATATGTGGACTGGGTACAACCCTTATCATCTGAGACATGTTACATCTAGAAATACGACACAGTTGAGTATAGTAGCATTGACGACATTATAACACACATTTGCAGTGCTTTATAAGTCTTGAGATATTCTACGATGATCATCTCTCCACTTCTCTCCGGTAATGGAGGTGAAAATCCCTCCTGTTTTTCATCCTTCCATTGAGGCACAGGGGGTGGGGTGGTACTTTAACTAAACCCTCCTCTACCTCCTCCACCAATGAGAGAGGGCTTGTCAGGTCAAGCCCTTCTCCTGCCTCTGTGACTGTGGTTGTTATTGGCTCATTGTCAGGCAGTGTAGTTGCGCTCGATTTCTGGACCAGTTCAGCTATGGTTTCATACCCAGGGGTTACCAGATCCCCTGGCTCTGTGACTGTAGTTGTCATAGGGTCATCTTCAGGCAGTGTGGTTGCACTCGAATCCTGGACCAGTTTAGCTATGGTCTCATAGCCTGGTCCGCTGGCTCGGTGACTGTGGTTGTGTCATCGTCAGGCTGTGTGGTTGATTCATGGACCAGTTCAGCTATGGTTTGATAGCCTGGGGTTGCCAGGTCCACTTCCACAGAGAGTTCATCAGGAGTGAGCTCCCCAATGATCTCATAGGTGTGCTGGGGTCGGACACACAGGGAAGGCCCCTGGTTCTGGTCCTCACCCTCCACATGACCCTCTACTTCAAGCTGAGGGATAAAGCTGGAGCTGAACTCCGCAGGGGCCTCCAGGAGATCAAGGTCGTTCATGACGGGGACATTGAGGAGGTCAATGTCATTCATGATGAGAACATCCACAGGTGCAAGGCTGTCCACGATGGCGACATCCACAGGTTCAAGGCAGTCCACGATGGGGGCATCCACGATGGGGACATCTATGATGGGAGCATCCAGCTCCAGGGTGTCAAGAATATTTACGATGGGGGTATCTGGAGTGTCAAGGTCATTGATGACAGGAATGTCCAGAGGTTCAAGGCTGTTCACAATGAAGGCATCCAGAACCAGTGTGTCAAGACTGTTCATGACTGGGGCATCCAGGGTCTCTAAGCCAACTGGAGCATTCAGGATATCAAGGTAATTAATGACAGTGGCATCCGCATGTTCAACAGGTTCAAGGCTGCTCACGATGGAAGCATCCACAGGTTCAACCAATTCAAGGCTGCTCACGATGGGTGCATCCACGATGGGGGCTTGCAGAGGTTCAAGGCTGTTCACAATGGGGACATCCATGATGGGGAGATCCACTAAGGGGGCTTCCACAAGTTCAAGGCTGCTCATGATGAGGACATCCACGATGGGGTCTTCCACAGGTTCAAGACTGCTCACGATGGGGACATCCAGAGGTTCAAGGATGGGGACATCAACAGGTTCAAGGCTGCTCATGATGGGGACCTCCACGATGGGGGCTTCCACAGGTTCAAGACTGCTCACGATGGGGGCATCAACAGGTTCAAGGCTGTTCACAATGGGGACATCCATGATGGGGAGATCCACTAAGGGGGCTTCCACAAGTTCAAGGCTGCTCATGATGTGGACATCCACGATGGGGTCTTCCACAGGTTCAAGACTGCTCACGATGGGGACATCCAGAGGTTCCAGGATGGGAACATCAACAGGTTCAAGGCTGCTCATGATGGAGACATCCACGATGGTGGCTTCCACAGGTTTAAGACTGCTCACGATGGTGGCATCTAGGGTGTCCTCTGAATAGACAGGTGGGGATACAGACTCAAGGGGGGTGTCGACTTCCACCATGGCAATGGGGGCTGGGATTGAGTGGAGCTCAGGTGTGAAATTCAGGACGTCACTCAGGTCACCTACAAGGTGAGAGAATAAGTAAATAATTGAGAAGTTTCACTTAACCTGAAGCTTAGCCAAAGAGAGATTGAGCCCCATTAGTTTGAGGAAATGCACATGCGATTTCAGATAGCCTACCAATGTCGACGGTGGTGGGAGGCGAAGGAGATCTAATCGTCATGGCTACGGGGCTTCCATTTGCAATCTCTAAGGCACCTGAAGAATCACCTGCATGGCATCAAAACACACCTGTAAAACTCACCCACTACACTTGTGTGAAAGACATAGGCTGTGTCCCAATAATATCTCCTTTCTTCTAAAATGTACACTTGTTCTACTTCCCACAAATCTAACAGCATTGGATTGGTATAGGCAAGGGAGTTTCCATCAATATTCATTATACCAGTCATTTCCTTTCAAATCAGTGAAGGGAAGTGAACAAGTGTACATGTTGGGAGGTAGGAGAGATTAATGAACGCAACCAGACACATGGGAGAAATACGGAGGTAGAGAGACACTTAGGGAGAGTGAAACAGAGATTGGTGAAGGTAGCACCTTGATCAGGTGCCTCCCTGTGGCTCCTCCAGGGTTTCAACCTGGTGCCATACTGCTCAGCAGGAGGCTGCTCTGGGACACCAATAACACTGTCCTCAGGTCTGGGACTGAAATCTAACCAAGGAGGAGATGAAAACCGAACACACTGTAAGACAACCATTTCTCCTCTGCTCTGTTCGTTGTAATTAGATAACACCTGAAAAAAAGTGTAACAGTTGGGTTTCCCACCTCTCTCGTCTTTTCTGATGTCATTGATCATGGGATTCTCCCTGGCAGCCAGGGCATCCTCCAGCTTCACCTGTCAATCAAAATCATAATCAGCAAATGACATCACAGCTATACTGGGTTCAGAATAACCCCCCCACTGGTGGTCTCTGGACAAAGTACTTGCAAAAGGATTCCATCCATCCATCCCTCCCTCCCTTCACTCCCTTCAACCCCATTTGATCCCTTCTACTCATTCCTTCCTTCCTTCCTCCGCATCTCCCTGCCTCCCATCTTACCGACTTCTGAGCGCCTACCCCCATCCCAAGTGTAACCCTGGTCAGGACATAGCTGTCATCATTGTTGTTGCCTGTCCCAGCTCTCACCACTCTGACCAGCTGTGACTGGGTTCTGTCCACCTCCTCACCACCATCCCGGAGCTCAAAGGAATGCCTGTGGAACACAACACAAACTAGAGAATCAGAACTTGTACAACAAATATCTAATGATGCTTACAGTATGCTTTACAGCAGCATACCACCCTGCATCCCAGTGCTGGCTTGCCTCTGAAGGTAAGCAGGGGTCGGTCCCTGGATGGGAGACCAGATGCTGCTGGAAGTGGTGTTGGAGGACCAGTAGGGGGCACTATTCCCTCTGGTCTAAGGAGTTCCCAATGCCCCAGGGCAGTGAAGGGGACATTGCCCTATGCAGGGTGCCATCTTTCGGAGGGGACGTTAAACGGGTGTCCTAACTCTCTGGTCATTAAAAATATAATGGCACTTATTGCACGAGTAGGGGGGTTAACCCCGGTGTCCTGGCAAAATTCCCAACCTGGTCTCATTTCTATCATGACCACCTAATAATTCTATTCATTACTAATTGGCATATATCACTCCTCACCTCTCCACCATACTAACTGATGTGTGGTGAGCGTTCTGCTTCTACTAAGCTACACACACACACACACACACACACACACACACACACACACACACACACACGGTCAAAAGTTTTAGAACACCTAATCATTCAAGGGTTTTAATTTTTTTTACATTGTAGAATAATAGTGAAGACATCAAAAATTACGAAATAACCAAAAAAGTGTTAAACACTTCAAATAGCCACCCTTTGCCTTGATGACAGCTTTGCACATTCTTGGCATTCTCTCAACCAGCTTCATGAGGTAGTCACCTGGAATGCATTTCAATTAACAGGTGTGCCTTCTTAAAGTTAATTTTTGGAATTTCTTTCCTTCTTAATGCGTTTAAGCCAATCAGTTGTGTTGTGACAAGGTAGGGGGGTATACAGAAGATAGCCCTATTTGGTAAAAGACCAAGTCCATATTATGGCAAGAACAGCTCAAATAAGCAAAGAGAAATGACAGTCCATCATTACTTTAAGACATGTAGGTCAGTCAATACGGAACATTTCAAGAACTTCAAGTGCAGTCGCAAAAACCATCAAGCGTTATGATGAAACTGGCTCTCATGAGGACCGTCACAGGAATGGAAGACCCAGTGTTACCTCTGCTGCAGAGGATAAGTTCATTAGAGTTACCAGCCTCAGAAATTGCAGCCCAAATAAATGCTTCACAGAGTTCAAGTAACAGACACATCTCAACATCAACTGTTCAGAGGAGACTGTCCAACCGCTGTGTTTGTGAGACGCGTTGTGGGTGAACGGATGATCTCCGCATGTGCATTTCCCACCGTGAAGCACGGAGGAGGTGGTGTTATGGTGCTTTGCTGGTGACACTGGCCTGTGATTTATTTAGAATTCAAGGCACACTTAACCAGCACGGCTACCACAGCATTCGGCAGCGATACGCCATCCCATCGGGTTTGGGATTAGTGGGACTATCATTTGTTTTTCTACAGGACAATGACTCAACACACCTCCAGGCTGTGTAAGAACTATTTTACCAAGAAGGAGAGTGATGGAGTGCTGCATCAGATGACCTGTCCTCCACAATCCCCCGACCTCAACCAAATTGAGATGGTTTGGGATGAGTCGGACAGAAGAGTGAAGGAAAAGTAGCCAACAAGTGCTCAGCATATGTGGGAACTCCTTCAAGACTGTTGGAAAAGCATTCCAGGTGAAGCTGGTTGAGAGAATGCCAAGAGTGTGCAAAGCTGTCATCAAGGCAAAGGGTGACTATTTGAATAATGTAAAATATATATTGATTTGTTTAACACTTTTTTGGTTACACACGCACAGTGCATTCGGAAAGTATTTAGACCCCTTGACTTTTTCCACATTGTTACATTACAGCCTTATTGTAAAATATTTTTATAGATTTTTTTATCCTCAATCTACACACAATACCCCATAACGACAAAGCAAAAACATGTTTTTATAATTTCTTGCAAATGTATTACAAGCAGAAAACTTAAAATATCACATTTACATAAGTATTCAGACGCTTTACTCAGTACTTTGTTGAAGCACCTTTGGCAGAGATTACAGCCTCGAGTCTACTTGGGTATGACGCTACAAGCTTGGCACACCTGTATTTGGGGAGTTTCTCCCATTCTTCTCCACAGATCCTGTCAAGCTCTGTCAGGTTGGACGGGGAGCGTCGATGCACAGATTTGTTCAATCGGGTTCAAGTCCGGGATCTGGCTGGGCCACTCAAGGACATTCAGAGACTCGTCCCGAAGCCACTCCTGTGTTGTCTTGGCTGTGTGCTTAGGGACGTTGTCCTGTTGTAAGGAGAACCTTTGCCTCAGTCTGAGGTCCTGAGCACTCTGGAGCAGGTTTTCATCAAGCATCGCTCTGTACTTTGCTCCGTTCATCTTTCCCTCGATCCTGACTAGTCTCTCAGTCCCTACCGCTGAAAAACATCCCCACAGCATGATGTTGCCACCACTATGATTCACCGTAGGGATGGTGCCAGATTTCCTCCAGACGTGACACTTGGCATTCAGGCCAAAGAGTTCAATCTTGGTTTCATCAGACCAAAGAATCTTGTTTCTCATGGTCTGAGAGTCTTTAGTTGCCTTTTGGCAAACTCCAAGCGGGCTGTTATGTACCTTTTACTGAGGAGTGGCTTGTGTCTGGCCACTCTACCATAAAGGCCTGATTGGTGGAGTGCTGCAGAGATGGAGGCCACTGTGTTCTTGGGGACCTTCAATGCTGCAGAAGTTTTTTTTGATACCTTTTCCCAGATCTGTGCCTCGACACAATCCTGTCTCAGAGATCTACGGACAATTCCTTCGACCTCATGGCTTGGTTTTTGCTCTGACATGCACTGTCAATTGTGGGACCTTATATAGACAGGTCACGTCCAATCAAGTTGTAGAAACATCTCAAGGATGATCAATGGAAACAGGATGCACCTGAGCTCAATTTCGAGTCTCATTGCAAAGGGTCTGAATACTTATGTAAATAAAAGGTATCTGTTTTTTATTGTTAATACATATGCAAAAAAACGTGTTTTCCCTTTGTAGTTAATCGGGTATTGTATGTAGGATAATTTTAAAAAAAATCTATTTTAGAATAAGGCTGTAATGTAACAAAATATGGAAAAAGTCAAGTGGTCTGAATACTTTACGCACTGTACTTCCATACATTTTTCAACTGACATGTACCTTTCCACAGATGGGTCATATTAGTGTGTAGCCCAAACTGTTCGGATGCTACAGGCAGAAGTTGGCAGATCGGCTATACCGACTTCAGACGAGCCCCAAGATGCTTGTGGGGGTCGTAGAGCAAAACGGAACAAGATCGTGTTCATGAGTCTCATCTTTCCATAGATGGGTCATAATAATTTGTAGGCCAAATCATTCGGACGTGTCGTAGTAAATATTAAAATGTTATAGCTTGGTCTGACTAAAATCTTGTGCATGACCCATTTTAATGTTAGGAGCTTGTTTTCAATCAATGCTGTTCCTATGCAAGAACAATGGACAGAGCCAATATCTTCTCAAGGACAACACCCACGCCACAGGCCACAATCTGGTTGCTCCCCACGAGACTTTCCTTTGAAAACATACACACATTCACACACACATCTCCATGCATACGCACACTCATCCTCATGCCTCACGAGTTACGCACACACACAAACTGCACTTCTTTCTACTGGTCGGGTGCCTAGGGCAGAGGACTCTGCCGTGCACAAAATGGGGCTTCTACTCTGGACAGAGCAGACCCGCCTCCTACGCCTCCGGAACCAATCAAGGGACTAGAAGAAGGACCCCTTCCTTTGTGTTGCATTGTATAAAGTAATGCTGAAAACTCTGTTTTTGATCCCTTTTCAACTGTCTCCATAAGAGGCAACTGAAATGGGTCCATGCATGTAGCTTGAGCAGATACCAGCTATCTCTGTGTTTAATAAACTGCCTTTTGCTTAAACATATTCCTCTCCGTCTAGCGTCGTTGGTTCTGTACTTCCTCTCCTGTATGGTTTCACCAACAAAAATGGTAGCAGAGGATGGTTTTTAATTCGATCTAAAAGTTGGTGCGAGAGGAAAAGGCAAATCATCGATCTAAAAACAGACGGAAGAGTGACCTGAAAATCCTGGAGAAATCAACTATTCGTCTTGGCTCAGGAACCTGATCAGAGCGCGCTCTTCTAAAAAGGTATGCAGAGCCTGTTAAAACGAAATCTTGCATATTGTATTATAGACCAATACCAAATTATGATCAGTAGTACTGAGCGTGAGTATGAATACTTGTTAAATAATTTTCCATCCTAATGAATTAAGGCATACATGAGATATCTGGTACTGTGTTTTATACTAAGGAATTAAGGAATAAGGAATAAGGAATAAGGAATAAAGATAAACGTATCCAGAATGTGTCGAACTACGGATTGACGCATTGGTGGATAAGATTTGACCCACAACTAGATTCCTAAAGGGACCCAGTTTGAACTGAGACCTTTTGCATAAATCCTATTAGGGGAGGTCCTACCCTATAGGTTGCGAGGAGGTAGAAGTTTAACTGTGGCAGAGTTCTAGACATTAGGTGGGGGAGAATCACCGAAAATTGACCAGAGGTATTAAATTCCCGGGGATGCCAGTTATCTCTGTGATTTCACACTTAAAACGTTCCATATAAATGGTTGTGTGAAAGGTACAATTAAGCTGAGATTAAGTCTTTCCTAGTGATTGAGTTGTCTAAAGAAAATCCTTTGATAGGGATCCAGTTGCTTCTGTGACTTCACATAAGTATAAGGTTGTGTGAAGGGTGGCAGTTGAACTGAGACTATGTTTTAGGACGCTCTGGTAACCTAAATTTTTTAAGGTATTGTATTCTAATTGGCAGTTTTGTTTTGCTGTGTTTATATTTTAACGTGTCTGTGTTTTTATGTATTATAACGTGTAATGGATGATGGGAAGTTATAGTGAGACTTATGAGACTGAACACCAATCTGTGGATCTGAGTGAATTTGACCTAGGGTTTCAGGAACCGGGGACTGGGGAGACTGATATTGAAGTTGTGCACGATTCTAGAACAAGCGTGAGATAACTAAAGCGTGGTGTGTGCTGTGTGTGGAAATTACTGCATTGGTATAATGTGACTAGAATTCTGATTTTATGATAATGATTGCATTACACATAATATAAAAACAATCAGCCTCTTTATATACGAGGGTGTCGTACATGAGATAAGTCTGTAATTGATACCGATAATACATCCTTGGAAATAAAACACCAGGGACGGGAATAAGTGTATAAAGATAGAGAAAGCAAGATGGCAGGACCAAACATAGCTAAACCCAAATTTAATGAATACCTACAACAACGAATGACAGAGAGAGTAGGGGGAAAAGAAAAGTATAAGAAAGTTAAGAAAGTGTGGGAGGAGGTGAAGTTGAGATAAAGTGATTGTTTAGGTAGGTGGTAATATTGACACATGGCCAAATCATGTGTCAAAAAGGGGGATGGATGGATTAAATATTAAATATATACGAAGGAGAGGACAAAATACTTTAAAAAAAAACAATAAAAAAAAAAAACATGTATGATAAATTATATTTAATATAACCAGCAAAAGATTTATTAACCACACTCGTGATGCAATAAAGGGATTAGCTGAGCAGACAGCGGCAACTAGCTTAATGACATGGCAGAATAGAATAGCTTTAGATATGCTTTTGGCTGAGCGGGACGGGGTTTGTGTTCTGTTTGGATATATGTGTTGTACTTTCATCTCCAACAATATAGCACCGGACGGGCCCGTGACCAAAGCGCTTGAGTGACCATCACCACGCTGGCGAACGAACTGGTTGAGAACTCTGGTATTGATAGCTCCATAAACGGTTGGTTTGATAACATATTTGGTAAATGGAAAACTATTGTTGTGACTATTCTGGGTGAAGTTATGGCCTCTATGGGTATACTTGTTCTTTGTGGATGTTGCCTTATTTCCTGGCTGAGTGACTGGTTTGGTGAGTACTCTTCTATGGTGGTTACTGGATTTCTGACCCTAGTAATTGTGTTTTTGCTGTTAATGTGTTGTGCTGCTTGCATCGTACCCTGTCTCAGGAGGTCAGTGGTAGGAGTGGTGCAGGCGTAAGGTATGATGCTGTTGTTACCGGACCAGGATGATGCAGGTGACTCTGCTACTGACTCTGAGACCAAGCTGGATGATCCATGTTTTGCCTAGTAAAATACATACACGCATTTATTTTCAGTTCTTGCTCATTTATTACCTTATGTTTTTACTAACCACTGTGATTGTTTATTCTTCCTGATGTGAAGGTAAAGGATTCCTGGGTGGCTGGTAGCCAACTCAGTACATGTTAGGTGTAGGGGAGGAATAGAGGGTTAAAATTATTATTTTTTATTAACATTAAATGTTGTGATTTAATTTCCATATCCTGTTATTCTTAAGGGTGATTATACTCTGTTTAGAGTGACACCATAAAATTGTTGGGTTTTATTTTTTGGATCTGTATGTGATGAATAGCTTGGAAGGAATGCATTAATGAGGAGCACTGTACTGATATGGATTGTTTCACATAACAGGCTGATAAGAACACTCTCTCTTTGTTGTCTGTGAAACTGTCCTTGAACATGGGTACATGGAGTACAGTTTTTGGGGGCTCGTCCTTTTGGGTGCTGACTGTTGCACTATTAATAAAAACGTCGATAGAATTAACTACATACATTAATGTCCAGAAATTAGAAAACTGGACTCAACAAGGTTTTGAGGCTGTTCATGGACAACTAGCTGCAACTTCATTAATGGCTTTTCAGAATAGAATTGCTGTTGATATGTTACTTGCTGAAAGAGGGGGTGTGTGTGCTATGTTCGGGGAACAATGTTGTACTTTTATTCCTAATAATACTGCTGCAGATGGAAGCTTGACAATTGCTCTAGAAGGTTTGAGGACTCTTAATGGTAAAATGAAGAGCCACTCAGGGGTGGATACTTCAATGTGGGACTCTTGGATGGATGCGTTTGGTAAATATAAAACGCTTGTTTCTTCTATACTTGTATCCATCTCTGTTTTTGCTGCAATTCTAGTGCTTTGTGGATGCTGTTGCATTCCATGCATACGGACGCTGACAACCAGGATTATAACCACCGCTATTGATCCAAATCCTGCAGATAACGGTCAGATGTTTCCTTTGCTTGCTATTGACGATGCTGACCAAGGATATCTGGATGATGAATAGCATTTAAGCTTTTTGTCACGTCTCTTGTGAGACGTGAAGAGGGGGAATCAAAACTTTATCTTCTGATAAAGTTTTCCCTATTTTGCCAATTACACTGTTAGCTTGTGTCACGTCTCAAGTTTTCCTTCTTTACTGTTACTTGGTCACGTCTCTGGGGAGACGTGAAGAGGGGGATTTGTCGTAGTAAATATTAAAATGTTATAGCTTGGTCTGACTAAAATCTTGTGCATGACCCATTTTAATGTTAGGAGCTTGTTTTCAATCAATGCTGTTCCTATGCAAGAACAATGGACAGAGCCAATATCTTCTCAAGGACAACACCCACGCCACAGGCCACAATCTGGTTGCTCCCCACAAGACTTTCCTTTGAAAACATACACACATTCACACACACATCTCCATGCATACGCACACTCATCCTCATGCCTCACGAGTTACGCACACACACAAACTGCACTTCTTTCTACTGGTCGGGTGCCTAGGGCAGAGGACTCTGCCGTGCACAAAATGGGGCTTCTACTCTGGACAGAGCAGACCCGCCTCCTACGCCTCCGGAACCAATCAAGGGACTAGAAGAAGGACCCCTTCCTTTGTGTTGCATTGTATAAAGTAATGCTGAAAACTCTGTTTTTGATCCCTTTTCAACTGTCTCCATAAGAGGCAACTGAAATGGGTCCATGCATGTAGCTTGAGCAGATACCAGCTATCTCTGTGTTTAATAAACTGCCTTTTGCTTAAACATATTCCTCTCCGTCTAGCGTCGTTGGTTCTGTACTTCCTCTCCTGTATGGTTTCACCAACAGACGCTACAGACAATTTTGTGAGAAGACCGATTTTCGGGATGTCTCATGGTCTGACAAACACCGCTCTAGCTCTGTCACCCCAGATGCGGAAGTGCGACATAGGCGGATACGGTGGACTGAGATGTATCCAATGCATCTCTAGCTTAAACTGACGGATTTCTATAGGGATTTTTGTTATTATGCTAATTATATTTTCGCGAGGGCACGGACATCGACCTTAGGGGGTTAAAGAGCAACTTCCCCTATAAAAATAATTCTCATTTAGAAAACAGCCTATGTGGTATCGATATGAGTCAGAAACATGTATTCTGCTGTCAAAATTGACCACAAAGTGTAAATAGTATAATTTGGTGTAGCACCTGCGAGGCACAGCTGAGCATACATTTAAATAATTTGCTTCCCCAAACTGTTGCCACAAAGTTGGAAGCACTGAATCGTCTAGAATGTAATTGTTTGCTGTAGCGTTAAGATTTCCCTTCACTGGAACTAAGGGGCCTAGCCCGAACCATGATTCGTCCATTGGCCATAGAAACCCATTTCATGAAGCTCCTGACGAACAGTTATTGTGCTGACGTTGCTTCCAGAGGAAATTTGGAACTCGATAGTGAATGTTGCAAGCGAGGACAGACGATTTTTACGGGCTACGCGCTTCAGCACTCGGCGGTACCGTTCTGTAAGCTTGTGACCCACTTCGCGGCTAAGCCGTTGTTGCTCCTAGACGTTTCCACTTCACAATAACAGCACTTACAGTTGACCGGGGCAATTTTACGAAATGACTTGTTGGAAAGGTGGCATCCTATGACGGTGCCACGTTGAAAGTCACTGAGCTCTTCAGTAAGGCCATTCTACTACCAATGTTAGCTATGGAGATTGCATGGCTGTGTGCTCAGTTTTACCCGTTGCTGGCAGGTGTATGTGACTGAAATAGCCGAATCCACTCATTTGAAGGGGTGTCCACATACTTTTGTATATATAGTGTAAGTACCTGCAGCTGATGGTCATGGTGCTTTAAAGACAACTGGGAACTTGAAAAAAAATAATGACGTCTGTGAACTTCAGGTCGGAATGTCGGAGCTTTAGAAAGATGCCCAAGTTTCCGAGTTGGATGACTGTTCAAAACTATTTTTCCCAGTTGTCTGGAACACAGCATTAGTCTCAGCAGAGGGAGGGAGAGAGCAGCAGAGGGTCTGCCTCTCACTGTCTCGCTCTCTCCTGCCTTTCCTCTGGTGAGGCTGACCAGAAAGAGGGGACACAGTCTTCCACCTGATGGCGAAACTCGAGTCGCACCGCATCTGCCTCAGGCACAAATTCATGTTGTTCCTATGACCAGAAAGAGTGAAATGTTCCTCGATATTAAATAGACACGACTAGCTGCTAATAATAATAAAACCACAGGGCTATCGATACACTTGGCTACTCATTCATTGCAGCTGCAACGCGAGTGGAAGTAGAGAGAAGAGCATTTTCTGTTTTGTAATAGTGTTGAATAAAAACAGTGTTGACAGTGCTGAATAAAACTTAGACATGAACTCACTCTTAAAAACAGCAGCTCTTTGCTGTATTCTTTGACAGTCTCTCGCTGGTCATGGTTTTAAAAGTTAAGAAATCTCTCATAGGCGAGTATAAAACTTTGCTGTGGCCGGGGTTGTGGAAGCTGTAACTAGGCACGGTGATAACTCTAAAAGTAGCAGAGATCCCCCTCTGGAATATGTAGAGTATATCATGTTCAACAATATATTGAAAAATTATCCAAATCAACAATTTATCCAAATCAACAATATTCATAAATGTAAGAAATGTGTTGTTGAAATCAAAATACTACTCATAGTACAGAGCAAGCGGTAAAGCTTCATATGACACCAACTTTTGCTTTGTAGCACATACAGATGAAACATTATGGATTCTTAAAGGAGGCCTGGGTGAGGCCAAAATGTCATAAATATGCCAACTTTGATTAATTATTTCTCAATTATGCTTTCAGATACAAATGGCTAATACATGTCAACAATCCTTCCACCAAAGGACCTTTCTATGGATACAATTTAGTGAAAATCCCCCAAATCATGGTATTTTTCTTTGTTCTAGATTTGTGAGGAATCACCCATTAGTCTGATTGTATCACAGGAGGGAACTGTTGCACTGACACTATCAAATCATTGGAGACATGCATAGAATGCAGTGTTTGAAGGTATGTGTATTCTCTCTCAAAAAAGAGAGAAAGAGATTTTTTCCTTCCTCAGACAATGAGTGATTTACTGGTGGTATCGACCTATACATTACATTATATACGTTATGTGAAATGTGTCTCGTAATGTAGAGCCAGAGGGGCCTATTCCTCATACCAGAGGAATTCCCGGAGAGTGTGTGTGTTAGTGCATGCGTTAGAGACATATTTTGGTTTATGACAAGACAAAAGCACTCAATATGGCATTCAAAGACTCAATTATCCTATCAGGCGTAGAGTATCAGGAGGCTGCTGAGGGCAGGACGGCTCATAATAATGGCTGGAACGGCGCAAATGGAATGGCATCAAATACATGGAAAAAATGTTTGATGTATTTGATACCATTCCCCTGATTCCACTCCAGTCATTACCACAAGCCCGTCCTCCCCATTTAAGGCGCCACCAACCTCCTGTGGTGTAGAGTATCATGACATTGATCCATAAGTACACTGTGAGCATTCCTACATATACATTACTTTTATAGTCATGGTTTACATGTAAAACCACTCTTTCCATAGCCGCAGTGGATAGGAGAAAGTGTTCTGGAATTTTAACCTGAGGCTATCATGTACTGTAGGGAGGGGTGAACTGGTTGTAGCCTGGAGCACTGCACTCCATGCATGTTTCATTCATACATTAACCTACACCTCATACCTGTAAGCCTGCCATGTATGGTAATATACTCACAGGCATCAAATGCTCGCTCTTATGCAACAAAATAAGAAGTTATGTTATGGTCCCTGAGAAATACAAAATCATTAAATTAATTTATCACTGACCTTCTGCAGTTAGTGCAGAGGGCGAGAATGATGGAGAGGAGGAGGAAGAGCAGAGAGAACACGACGACCTCTGAAGAGAATGACCCCAACCCTGGCGCTGCCCACGACCCCATGACCTCTCTCACCTGCACCATGGCAACTGCTGCTGCAGGGGGACACGTGAGTGAGCGAGGTGGAGAGAAAGAGAGAGCGGGTGGGTGAATGCATGCTTCCGTGTGTGCTTGGGTGAAATACAAGCATTTCATCTACTGAAAGAAGTGTTTAGCTTGTGTATAGTTGGATTGATGATGTCAATATGTACTTATGGCCACATTTATGGTTACATGATCAAAGAGAAATAGCCAAAACAGAGCAGAGTACACATTTGTATATACAGTTGAACATAATATACTCTATGGGCATTTCAAAATTCCAGATACAGATGTCAAATACATGTCAACAATAATTTTTCCAAAGGAGGGCATTTCCACAGTAACACAGACTTTTTTGCCCTGGTTTAGTGAGGAATCACCCTATTCTCATACAATACCCAGCCCTGTCTGCACCCATATCTACTAAAGGAGGTGTTGGCTGCTTGCTTATAGCACTTGAGGGTGAGGGGCCTGGTTACACCCTTACAGTAGATGGTAAGACAGCAAAAACATTTCCACTATCTTAAACAAAATAGTGAGGGATGTATATATTGCTGGCAGTAATCAGCACCAATATTTAAACCCCCAAAAAAATGTGCCTAAAAGAATAATGTGCACATGGACAAAAGAAAAAAGGACAGGACAGACAGACAAATTCATTGCACAAATAAGATAACACTGACGATTGCTGGAATACAATCCAACAAATAAGCCTGTAATTATGAGAGCAGAGACAACAATGCAGCCCTACCGGACCACATCAAATACATCACTTACTGATGACAGGAAAAGTCCTATTTTCTGATAGGCTACTCTCACTTAAATACTGTTCATTAATTAATCAATCACTTACTGCACTTGCTCAATCAATGATTGGGATAGCAGCAAAAACAATGTCTGTACAGTGTTATCAACAAGTGTGAGAAACATTCGAATCAAAGTAAAAACAAAATGGAAATGGTGATAAACACTTGTCTAAAAAAAAGTGATCTAAAAACAGTGAAACAAAAGAAAAACGACAGATACATGACATGTTCATTATGCACATGGCTTCTACAGTATTTCATACAAGAGAGGACTTACCTTGTGATTCACAGGGATAACATCTTGACTGTTACAATCCAATCAAACGCATAACCCAAGGCCATCTGTCAACATCCTGTGTTTCTAATAGCAGATAGAAAAATACACAGTTATTAACATTCAAATCAAATAAACATCTGACAACTGATATCATTAACATTGTTTATATTCTATTCTACCATTCCAAGTGTGACATAATGTCAGTTCCATTCTGTGTTCTCTGAAACACTTTCACCTGGTGGGAGGGGTCTCACTGCCACTGCCAATCAATGACCCATTGATTTGAGCCAATCAAAATGGGCTGGTGTTCATTGAAAAGCATTTTGATAGGATGATACAAAAGCCTGTTCTCATAAAAATTAGGGCGCTCGTTCTACTCCTCTCTCTGTACCTGGGGTGTATTCACTAGGAACCAAACAGAACCAAACAGAAACAAAGGGAACAAAATGCGGAGGGACCTAAATCAATTTGTCTAATAGAAACTCTCTGTTTTCAACTGTATGGACTAATGATTACACCCCTGAAGTGAACAATCTAAACAATCAAAAAATCCAAACAACCTACAGTGTATTGCAGATAAATATTGAAATAATATTGAAATGTAAAATCTTCGTCCATGTAACCCATGAGCAAATACTGTAATCCTTACACACACACTCATGCACGCACACACACACACACACACACACCCTGTATGCTTGCACAGAGGAACAGGTTGTTTCGACCACACCGGAAAACTCACACTTCAAAGAACAGTGTAAATGAACAGGTTTTCCCTGCCACCTAAATCTTAGACTGTAGCCTACGGCAATCTTACCATTCACACTCTCCACTAATTACACTCAGTTTAGTTTTTTGAAGTCCTTATTTTATCAATAAATACAAAAAACAATTCTAAATTCTTCATCAGAGTGCAGCTCAGTTCTGAGAGGAATATCATGTGAATAACTGTGACCGCTCCACTGTTCCGAGAGGAATGTCATGAGAATAACTGTGACCGCTCCACTGTATCGAAACAGATTCCTCTGTCCTCAAAAGCCAGCCAGTTTACTCATTGACAGCCTTGAACACACAGGACAGAGGGCAAATACTGAACAGCACTGGCATTTGTACGTGTTAAAGGGACATTACTAACTTTCACTGTACAGACTGTGAAGGCTGTAATACTGAAACTCACACTATCTTTCTCTATCTTTCTTTTTTTCATTCATCTCTTTCAAGAGGCTCTTGTGTTCTGGGAATTGGCATCAAGCAGTTGTTGATGTTCTCGTACAAGACTGTGACAGAGTATCTCTTGCTGTGCATGCATTTGTGACAGATAAGGGGTTACTGTACAGTGATATCAAACTGACAACTATTTTATCAGTGCACAGCAGCCGCCAACTGACGTTTAACCCTTGATAACTGGTGGCGGGTAGTGTATTGTGACCCAAGCTGTGTGCGCCACTGAGATGATAGAGGGAGAGAAAGGAGATGAGAAACACCAGTTCATATTGTGTATGACACATGACAGTTTGAGGAGATTTAAAATGCGAACAAGCATATACAGTATTCATGGAGTATATACTGTACAGTATTCACACAAAGGCCCACAAGCACACACACACGCGTACAAATAACACACACAAACACACAGATGAAGAGAAATGATTACTCACAGATAAAAAATATTTCGCAGGGTCAGACCGCTTGACCTCTGACCTTGTCACAGACGGTCAACAGACAGCGACACCTCCTCACCCAAATGTGCCATGTCAATATGGTACACTACAGCCACCACCTCTCTCCCTCTCTGTCTGTCTCTGTCACACTAACTTTCTCTGTCTCTCTGTTCTCTTCTCACTGATCTCTGATTCCATTTGTCATTCAGCAGCAAGCAATTCTTTCTTTCTCGCTCAATGTGACACACTTGTCATATTCTGGCATGCTTTATCTCTCTCTCACACCCTCCTGATAAGAGTTAACATGTCTGCCTTTAGTCTAGCTTTCAGAATCACAACTATCACAGCTCAACTTTATTACGTTAAGTATATGAACGTTTTATATGTAAAGACCTGCACAGATATTGTAATTTTACGAAACACTTCACATTCAACCCTTACATGAGTGTGTTTTTATTACTGGGAAAGTATTACTCTTAAAACAGTGCAACGAGTTCATTACATATTGTTGCACTGTGCTTACAGCAGTGAAAAGTAAGTACTTCTTAAAAAGCAGTAAAAGCCCAGTGTCATTATGTGAGAGGTGAATACAATGTGCAGGTTGGCATTCATTGTCATGAATCTTGACCTGGAGGAGGCAGCTCCACAAAGTCATAAAATCTGATTTTAAACCTAACCCCAATCTTAACCCTAACCTTAACCACACTGCTAACCCTAAACTTAAATGAAGACCAAAAAGCTTTCATAAATTTTTACAATATAGACAATTCTGACATTGCAGCTGACCAATCTAGTATCAGTGTGCCATTACGTGAGAGGTGAATACAGTGGCTGTGTGTTTGAGGCGAAGCTAGAACGTCGTAGAGGAGTTTTAGCATGATGTCAACCCAGTGTGCTTAGTGAGACATACCAACAGGGTCTCACCTATCTTCACAGACACACACAGCAGCCATGGCTCAATAAACCTGTGTATGTGACTGTGTGTGCATTCATGTGAAGAGGATCACATTGCTGCAAGATGCATGTGTCAGAATGTATAGTTTATTGTTTGAAAAATTACAATTGAAACAATGTGAACATAAACAGTGTGAACTTCTAAAAATCTTCCCAATAGAAACATACTCAATCAAATGTATTTTATAAAGCCCTTTTTACATCAGCAGTTGTCACAAAGAGCTTTACAAGATACCCAGCCAAAAACCACAAAGAGCAAGCAATACACAGTGGCTTAGACAAACTCCCTAGACAGGCAGGAACATAGGAATAAACCGAGGGGTGGCCAGTCCTCTTCTGGGTGTGCCCAGTGTAGTCACACAATCATTGTTCTTGGTGCAAAAGTATTCATATTTGCTTCACAACTCTCCCTGCAGTAGATAGTAATGACAGTAGACACTGGCTCCCTATGGCCAAAGGTGCACACTACAAATGAAACAACCTTTTCAACCATCTCAACATTTTCTAAGCCTATGATCATCAATGGCTTAAAGTTAGATGTCATGTCATCGTCGGAAAGGCATTACAATGTATTACAATTCATCTTACAATTCCCAAATCTCTGTATCCTTCCTCTTTGACGCTTTCTTCCTCTGCTCTCTACCTCCCTCCATCTTCCCTTCAATCCCCCTATCAATCTGTCCTCCTTCCTCAGCCTCCTCTCCACCCGTCTCCTCATGGCCACATCTGTCAGCTTGCGACAGAACACCAGCTCTCTCTCTCTCCCACTCTCTCTCTACCTCCTTCCATCCTCCCTTCCCTCCCATCTCTCTATGTGTCCTACTTCCTCAGCCTCCTCTTCGCCCGTCTCCACATGACCACAGCTGTCAGCTCGCTACAGAACACCAAGACAGGAAATGACACGGCTGCCACCAGGAGGCGGCACTCCCCGTGCTCACTCGTCAAGAACACCCGCCGGGACAGGAAGTCCTCAAGCACAGCTTCCTGTTGGGTCAGCGTGCAGAGGGAGAGGAGGAAGTGGAAGAGCTGGTGCCTGTGGCCGATGACGTCACAACGCCCTGGGAAGGAACACTCAGAAAAGGAAAGGATAAGCGGAACGCCACCAAGAGGAACAGCAACACCTGTGTGTGGTGGTCCTCTGTAGCTCAGCTGGTAGAGCACGGCGCTTGTAACGCCAAGGTAGTGGGTTTGATCCCCGGGACCACCCATACACAAAAAAAATTATGCACGCATGACTGTAATTCGCTTTGGATAAAAGCGTCTGCTAAATGGCATATTATTATTATTATTACATCAGTGTCAACA